CTGCTTGATTCCATGTGCCATAGACCAGGTTTGTTCTTGCTCCTATATTTCTTTGTCGGATTTTTTCAATTTTTTTGACCTGCGGTTCCTTCAAATTTCTAATTATATTTGAATGATTAAGCATTTTGTTTTGCAATTATTATAAAGTGGAGCAATATGTTTTGTTGTCAACAAAATAGTTTTGGTTATATAGTCGGATGTGTGTCTTTTGTCTGAGAGTGATGGTTATTTCTCAATCATTAGAAGCAATCTTGATTGGCACAAGGATCTCCTCATAACATCCTAATTATAACCTCCACTATGAAATAAACCATTGAGTAACTGGTTACCGTTCTAAGAAGTCACTGCATATACTAGTGGACACTGACAGCTCTCATAATTTTATTGATTCAGAGTTAGTAGAAAAATTAAGGTGTCCTATTAAATCCACTACTCCTTAATTGGTAGTTGCAGCAAATGGAAACATAATTAGAGTTGATAAGGTGTGAAAAATCTCTTGAAGTGACAATTGAACAATTAGTCACTATTTGCAGTGACAATTGAACAATTAGTCACTATTTGCAGTGACAATTGAACAATTAGTCGCTATTTGCAGTGACAATTGAACAATATTGCAGTGACAAATAGCGACTAATTGTTTAATATAATCCGGTCTAAGAGTCCGGAGTCGAATCTCACAGAGAGCTATGGTTTCGCCATAATTGTTCAATATCGCTAAGAGGACAAGCTCGAATAAATTTATAAGTTATAAAGATTAAGATTCTTATATCTAACTAAGAAACTAAGCAGTAAATTAACAACTAAAGATACTAAGGGTTGGAGAGTAAATTTAGGAGGTATAGAGATATGATTTCCCCAAATGTTGGAATCCTTCCCGCTATGTTCCCTACAATTTCGCCTATGTATTCTCTATTGATCGTGAGCACTTTAGGTGTCGTAATTCTCTCTCGAGCAACTACAATAATTTACTAGACATATTCTCTCGAACTACGCTAGTTGGCTTTATCTAACCGCTCATTATGACCACGCCAAAGCTTTGTTATTTCTAAACCTACCTTTAAACCCGTTGTATTGATTTCTCACATACGTTAGGAGTGAAGTTGTTCAACAACCACCTAAATATGTATCCTTTCTCAAGAAACACATAATAAATAGGCACAGTCAATCGATGGCCATTCAATCAACTGAAATAAGCACGTAGTTGAACAAATATAAAAATTCAAAGGTTAAATTATATTAAAACATAACAAGAATTCACCCTCTAAGAGGTTCCATCAAAACCCTAGATAACAAATTAGTTACTCATGCTAATGGATAAAAATTCACTATAACAATTCATAATCAACAATGGAAGTAAGATGAATAAGATGAAAACTCTTACGAAATTCTCCGTCTTCTCTCTCTTGTTCTTGCCTCCAAAATCTCCTAAAAACGACTCCCCTTACTTCTGGGCGAGTTTAGGTTTCATATAGGTTTAGGTTAGTCGCCTAGGAAATTACATAATTAACCCTGCGTGTTTGGCTTTCGTCCGCCCATCCGCGGCTGCGGATTTTGCCCAGTTCACTGCCTGATTTGCGCGGTCAATCCGCGGCCGCGCACTTGCCGCGCACTTTTCACCCTGTTGTGTTTGGAATTTGGAAAAACATAAGTCATGAAAGTTGTAGCCCTTTGAATTATATTTGCAACCATATATTGTGGAGCCAAAATTGAGTTCTTAATGAAACGTTATGTTCATTTTACTAGAAAGTGCGCAATATGCCTACTCGATTCTTCGCTCGTTCTTAACTATCATCCGTTGATCCCCGAACACGATCCCGGCTTAATTCCTTGGGCTTTTACTCAGACTTCAAAGCTCCAAATCACTCGAATTCATTCCATAACATCTACATAGCTCGGAATCACTCCTACAAGGCATAAAACACACAATTAGTGCAAAACACTAGCTATTAAAGCTCAAACTCAATTAAAGTGCTCTAAATTAGAGTGTAATAAGGGACTAAAATACATAATTATAGTCTATCATCAATTAGTATAATACTTCCTTCCAATAAGGCATAGGAACCACCCCATATGAGGCCCTATGTAGAAGACCACCTCTTCTGCACTTACCCTATCTTCTAGGTGAATCAGCTTCAGCTGATGTAGGCAACGCTTTTATCAACAGAGAATTGAAACTACAATTGTTGCAATACCATTTGCTGAGAGCTCAGTTAAGGATGAAGCAGCATGCTAATTCTCATATGAGTGATAGAAACTTTGAAGTAGGTTATTGGGTTTACTTCAAGACTCAACTTACAAGCAAGTGAGCGTTATTGCTCAGCCATTCCATAAATTGGAACCTAAATACTATGGACCATTTCAAACTATCAATAAGGTGAGAGTTGTGGCCTACACTCTACTATTTCCTCCATCAGTAAAGATATGCCCCATTGTACATGCGTCTCTACTAAAGAAATGCTATGAATTGCCCAAAACAATCACTTATCCTCCCAGTACTGATATTGCCAGTCCTCACTGTCCCAATCCAGAGTCTATTTTAGAGAGGAGAATGGTGAAAAAAGGAAATAAAGATGTAGCTCAAGTCCAAGTTAAGTGAACAAGTTTACCTGCAGATTATACTACATGGGAATTTCTTAATGCACTAAAGATTAGGTTCCCTTGTTTTCATTCTTGCGGTCAAGGATCTACTGCAGGAGGGAGTCTTGATATACAAATTACAGCATGATCGCAGCCAGCTCAAGTTGGAAGCTCCAGCTCAGCAAATTCAGTTAGTAGTTAGTTAGTCCAAGTCAATTAACAGTTAGCTAGAAAGTTAGTTAGTTAGTTGGGAATAAGAATCTTCCAGAATGAGCCATGTATTCATTCATAAATGGATTACAGTTATTTTACAATCATCAATGAAAATACAACTACAATTTCTCTCTCAATTCTCTCTTTCTCTTAATCATAATTTCTTCACTCCATAAGATGTGATCTACGAGTTTCTCCGCAAAACTCCTAGCTCAACTACTCAATTCTTGAATTCACTGCTCGATTCCTACAATTGAGATATCAAAAATCTTGAAATTTTGTAGACCTATTCTAGTATTATAATAATGACTCATTTATTACTCTATCCTTGAGAGGTCATCCACTTTTGCCAGAGGCTCTTTACCCTAATACAAAAAATGTCATGGTGCGTCAATACGAGAATGTGAAAAATCTACTCGTTATGGACCAATCTACTCCTTTGTACAACTGGAAAGGACAAAAAACGAAATTGAAAAAAAGTTTCAAGATAAAAAGGAGTCGGTTGTTTTGCTTATAACCAAACCCGAAGTTTTACAACTATAGAAGCCGCGCATATTTTCCCAAAAGAAAACCCGGCAAACCATCGTCTCTCACACACCCAGAAAATCGAATTTGAGAATTTGGGACTGAGAAAAAGGAGGAGCCATGGGAGAAAGGAAAGTATTGAACAAGTATTATCCGCCGGATTTCGATCCGGCGAAGATTCCCCGGCGGAGACAGCTCCCAAATCAGCTGGCGAGCTTTAATTTTTTGTTCTGGTGCTATTTTGGTGATGCTTTTGTTTCATTAAGCTGATTTTTGAAGTGTCATGAGTATCAGATAAACCTATGCATGTCATGAGTATCAGATAAACCTATTTATGTAGTGGCAATTGGAGTTCTTGTTAGGTTTTAGAATGGATGACTGTTGGATAAAAATTGGATAATACTCATATTGCAAAACTCAATTGGATAATACATATATTGGGTGACTGTTGGTGAAAGATTCGGACTTGGCTTGGAAACGGATAGCTGAAGTAAATCAAATATGTATTGAGGTTTGGCAAATTGCTGTTAATTAGTACTAGTTTTGTCTGTTTTGTTAAACACCAAGGCATTGCTTCTTCGTGCTGCTAATGCTCTTAAATTTGTATCACCACATAAGATAGAAAGCTTTGATGTGATGACATCTATGTTTTGGCCTAGAAATCCGCTGACTTCCCATCCTAGATCGCAAGCTATACGTTTCCTACCATACATTTTGATATGTTGGATGAACTTACGACTTAAAACCATAATAATATCCCCTTAAGATTACCTTAGTGTTCATACTCAGCGTCACTCTAATTAATACACCATCGGGGAGGAAATTGACCTACCCTGCACTGTGTTGTTGTTTTCCATTATCTTGGTAGCCATTTATATAGCTCTTTCCCTGCACTTATCCATCATTTGGCTGAGAACCTCCATAGAGAAAATGTATAGGATAAGAGCAGATTATTTGCTGATTTAAATCTGCATTGTAATTTGAATACGTTTGGATGCAACACTATAATCAGAATCCGGAACATGAGAATGGAAATAAACAACCAGATCCCACCTTAAACTCATTTTCCCCAGCTGAGTATTAAGAAAGGAGAAAAGTGCTTGGCACGTGCTTTTTACAAGTCAAGATTGCAGAGAAATTTAGAATTCCATCCTTTGCTCTTGAAAGCGGCTATTTTATCCCTTTATTTTGATAAAAATCAGAGATATTGATAGTGGCTCATTAACAATTAGAGAAGCATCTAAAATCTTTTTACAAAAAAGCAACAATAAAAATAAAGCATTGAGTGTCTGTCTTCTTGCAATGAAAACATGTTGTGTTGTGTATAAGTCTATAAGAGGCATCTTGTTAAGAAATTTATCTTTAGTTTAAGAGAGACTAGCTTGACATTAAACATACTAACTAGCCAGCCTGAAGTCCTTACTCAATATGCCCCTTTGTTTTTAGAAATTTGAGCAGTAAGTTAGGCAGTGATAATTCTTTCAAAAGTTACACTATAGTAGAAATCAGTCAAATATATTCATATGTTTGTGTATATATATATATCTATCCATATGTATGTATGTATATGTTGATCTGAATTATAATCACGTCTCTAATTATGCAGACCTGCTTAGGAATACAAATCTTCAGATTCTACTTCAAGTGCACAAAGTGCTCCGCAGAGATTACATATAAGACAGATCCAAAAAATCCCGATTATACTGTAGAATCAGGTGCTACTAGGAATTTTGAGCCTTGGCGTGGCCAAGATGAGGTAAGAATTTTATCAACTTAAAGTGCTATTCACCTCTTTCTTCCCCAGTGGAAGGAGTGCGAACCCTATGTTTATATAAATTTCCAATTTTTAGGGTAGTAGGTTCCGTATCTTGTGCATTCATGTTTATATTTCTTTTTTTTTAAGGAAATGGAGAAGGAGCAACAAAAAGAAATGGGTGATGCAATGAAGTTATTAGAAAATAGAACATTGGATTCGAAGAGAGAAATGGATATTATGGCTGCATTAGACGAGATGAAATCTATGAAGGTGAGTCTTGAAGTTATTTTTTCACGTTTTTCGTGAATTATTATTTTGTTACCAAAATTTACACTTATGTATGTTTTTTTTGCATTATATTGCTGCATTTATTTATATTTTTCTGTTAGTTTCATACCTTTGATCTTCCATTTTTCCAGTCAAGACATGCAACTGTGAGTGTAGATGCAATGCTTGAAGCTTTGCAGCGGGCAGATGAGGCAAAGGTATGATTGTGTTTTATATTATTCTCCCATTTGAATAGGAGTGAAAATGTTGTCCTTGATGACTAGTTTTCAGCATTATCACAATACTGTTGATTGATAAATATAGAGAACTTCAAGTTCATTCCTACGCAAAGTTGCTGTTGACACTTACTGTGGCTTTTGCTTGAGATCAGTTGTGAGTTGTGACCAAAGCTTTCAAAGGACATAATAGTTTATCAGATCAAATCAACGTGCTCTACTATTGGGATTCTGGACCTTTTTTGGGGATTCTATATGTTCAATTGATGATATAGCTCTTATAATTAAGAATCAAATCACACACTAAATTCTTCTATTTACTTCTTGAACACTATCTCGTATTAGATGTTGAGTGATTGCCTACCTCAAGCTCAAGACACATGTTCAAACTCTGGGAGGGAGGGGATAACCAAAATTAAAAGGAATGGGTGAAACCACACATTTCAAACTCCATGAGATCATTGGAGATGTTTAACCGGTAGTGAAGAATCACAGAGGTGTTTAGCACTGAAAGTATTTGTAGAAGGTTGAGTCCAGTAAGAAGTATGAAGAGTTGAAGGAGTTTAAAAGAAAGTATTCACTTAAATTATTGGTTATTCAGGATGATGAAAACAATTATGTGATTAAGATCTTCTAACTAATAGGGGAGCCCCGGTAGTGCCACTCTTCACCGGATCGTGATGGTTTATGAAGATCTGTTGAAGAACATTTTTATAATTAGTTGATGAGTAGGTGAAACATTTGATGAACTGCCTTATTTGCCATATTAATGTTTGCCCTAACAGGCGAGGAAGCTGGAGGAAAAAGATGAAGCTCTCATAAGATCAGTTTTCCAGGTTGGTATATGATAGTCTAAATACCTGCTATTTGTTCATTGGTATTTCTAAGAGCTTTAATTTCTTAAGAAGTTTTGTTGGTCATGTGATTTCAAATCAGGGTTCAAGAGAGAGAATCAAAAGAATCCCTGATGAAGAGCTTGAGGAGGACGATGATGATCTAGCTATTTTTGCCCTTGAAAGTTTAGGGTCAGAAAACAACTCTCTTAAGGTACAAGTGCTTGGTCAGTTAATTCAGTTTTCCATCTTTTATGTTTCTTCAACCTGCTTCTATACAAAATAGTCTTTAATAAATATCGTGTATGAATTATGCTTTGTTCATGGGTTTGAATACCAAGAAAGTACCATACATTAATGTCGCAGTTGCCTTTGGCGATAGGCATCAAGCAAGTGAGATCTACAGTTTATCTATGTGATTATCCTTATGACATGTACAAATTTTCCGCCTGCTTTCATATCATTTGTAAACAAGTTCCTATTTTGTTTAGTAGATCAGACATGAACAATTTGCTACATCCTCTTGAGTTAGTCGTAACTTTGAAATTGGTGTCTTATTTTCTCTTTTTAGCATCTTGCAGATACAAATAGCATACAAACAATAATCACATGGTCCACAAATCAAAAAAAAATCAGACGGTCCATGTAGACTTAGCTAAAAATAAGGCACAATGGAGACCTACAAATCCCTGGAAGTTGTCTCAAAAGACCTACAAATCTTTTGGAATCGGTGCAGATTTAGCTAAAGATAGGACACAAAGGAAGAAAAAGATCCATATAGGTGATACTTACTAGTTAGGAATAGGCTTTAAATTTGTTAGAGAACTTTTAATGTTAGTACTATGTTTTATTTTTAATTTATTTATTATTATTATTATTATTATTTATCACTACTCCCTCCATTTAAAAAAGAATGAACCTATTTCCTTTGTGGTCAGTTTCAAAAAGAATTACTCATTTTTAAATTTGAAAAGAATGTAACTTTAAACTCCCCATTTCACCCTCAATGCGATGATTTATAGTCATACAAATATCTATGGATTGTTTGGGACTACAAGTCTCAAAAGTCCTCTTTTCCCTTAAACTCCGTGCCCATTCAAATTGGTTCAAACAAATTGAAACGGAAGGAGTATTATTTTTATATATATCTAACATGTTTTCACTACTATTATTTTATTTTGACATGATTATGATATGAGTTGGGCTTAAAGAAAGAAGTAGGATTCATATAGCCGACCCCAACTTTGTTTAGGACCGAGGCATAATTGTTGATGTTATTGTCCATAAAACTAAGAGAATAATAAGGAGGATTGACGGAGTAATAATTAGAAATTATTCAGGGCTAGCTCTTAAGAGTCTAGATGTCACGCCCCGAAACCGGGGTGGGACATAATGACGCTCAACCTAATTGAGCAAGCCTGCTTTATCTAACTGTAATTGCTGATAAGGTTATTAAAGCAAATCAATTATGAATAACTTTTAATGATACCTATCTAAAAAAAAATTAACAAGAGTTTAGCAAAACTTTATCAGAAAATCTGAACCCACCAATGACAAGTCATGAGCCTCTGAGGACTAAAACTAAGAACAATGTCTTCGGGCCATTCCCCTAGAATGACAAAAACTGAAGGTCTGGAAATAGCCAACTATCGCTGGAAAGAAATCAACATAGTCTGCTATTGGATCTAAGAAGTCTGAAAACTATCCACAAGCTTCGTCACCTGCACACTCAACGCCTGCCACACGACATGAACGCTCAAACTGGCTAAATATCTCCAAGGGTACTCAGTAAGTCTTGTTTACCACTCCATAAGCGGTGGACAAGACTTTTCTAGACTAAATAGTTATAATAAGGATGCAATAAATATAACTTAAGATAATATGCTGCTAATGGCTCTGACTTGGGAAGCGTGCCCAGCTTTTTTCTCTCTCCTTTTGAAACATGTTTCGCCGGCGACTCTGTACTCTGTTTCTCTCCTCTAATTTTCTTTACCATGGAAGCCAAGATATTTTTTATTTCAGGTGAGAAATCTTTCGAGATCATCGATTCCGGCGAGGGGTGGTTTACTTTAGTTGAAAGGGGAAGAAGATTTTTGTGTAATATTAACATAGATGAGGAAAGTCTCAGGCGAGTTTGCAACCAAAAGGGAAGGGAATTATTACAGACGTTGGGAGTGGAGTTCACAGTCATACTATTACAGAGCTTTCGTAAATTTCAATAGCTATGGTAGATTCATACGTATTGAAGCATGGTTGGGGAGCAGGAAGAAAGCAGTGATTATTCCTGAGGCAGATTACAACTTGGGATGGGAAGATATAGCAAACAAAATTTTACACTTTCTGGGGAAACAAAGTACAAGCAGATCTAGACTTCCTCCTACTCATCAGTCCTATGCGTCTACAACAAAAATTTCTGGTCGCCGGTAAAGAAGCTTCCAGCCAGGATGGTTAACACTGTCAATGCAGTTAACCCACGCGCAGATTACGGGAATCACTATTTTCTCTCAAGGTGCTTAGTCGACACTTTCAACGATCCCTTCAACTATAGCCCCAACCATGAGGTGATACAAAAATGATTTCTGAATAGGTGGAAGGTTTGCGAGGGTCTGAAAGTAACTCCAATGTCCCACAATCAATTCCTCTTTGAGTTTCCATCAAGAAAAGAAGCAGTGAGAGTCCATGCTGGAGATTGGTTCTGGAACGGTCGACGTCTTTCATTGGAGTGGTGGTCGCCGGTGGCGGGCACTGAGTTAGGCTCGTAGAGATCGGTCAAAAATGGATTAAGGCTTTCGGAATTCCCATTAATGCTTGGAAACTCGAGACATTCAGAATCATTGGCGACATGTGTGGTGGCTTCATAGACATTGACGAAGATACGAGGCACCAAAATCACTATCTCTGGGCAAGAATATGTGTTAACAATGTTAAATAATGAATGTCCAGATAAGATAAAGCTCGATGTGGAGTGTTCGAGTTTCGAAATATCAATTATGAAGGAGGTAGCAGCCTCGCCAAAACATTTTCGGCCAGCTGGTGCAAAAACAGAGGCCAAAACCTCAGCGATGTGTTTGGGGGAAAACGACGGGTGTTCTGTCAGTTCAAAGCACGTGGAGGGACAGCTGTCAAAGGGTCACTTTAATTCAAATCTTTTGGGCCCACTTCCATCCCTTCTAAATACACGGGCTAATAATAATATTAGCCAGTGCAGGCCCAGTAAAAAAAGCACCTCAGGAGTCATTAAAGAGACGATGGTGGGCCAAACTTTTAATTATTACAAAGCCCCAAAAAAGAAGGCCCAACAAAAGATCAAGGCAACTAAACCCACGATTATTCAGGAATGGCGTGCTAAAGGGCCTTTACTGGATCTACGACTTTATTCCAACATGGTTATTCCTTCTTCCTCTTTAACCTTCTATCAGCAAACCCAATCCATAGTGCCAATCTCTAGTCACGCATGCAACCCCTGTAACACACTCAGAAGCTGACGACGAAGCTGATGATGAACCGGAAAATTTTCTTTCTAATCTAAGGGGTCTTCCTCAACAACTGGGCTGGTCCGATGCTGCCTCTACTGCATTAGTGCGCTCAGAAACAGATTTATACACCGAGTCACTTTCTCTACCATAGCACGATGATGAACAACTGAAATTACAGGGATTCCAGCAAGGAATTCAACAACCTACAGTAGTATAAACCTCCAAATGGACCAAATTGGTGCTGGGTAAAGTATGCAAGGCTTTCGGGATCAATGGAGCTGGATTTGAGCACGGAATTTTTGATTTAATCATAAGAATGGACCAAAAAAGACAGATTCAATTACAACAAAGAGGATCACCCTCTTCAGCTAGTAAGAAGGGGAAGGGAGGAAAAAAAAGGAAAACTGAGGTTTAGAACTTAATCTGTGGTATCAACTATGAAGGAAGGAATAAAAAGGAAAGGGGCAGGCAAGGCAAGACTCTTTCCAGATGAAAGTTAAAATTCTAAGTTTGAACATTAGGGGCCTCAATGCCAGGGATAAAAGGAGCACTATCACATCACTAGTTAGGAAGTGGAAAGCTGACATTCTTTGTCTCCAAGAAACCAAAATGGAGAACATCCCAACCAATATGCTTTACCAAATTTGGGGGAATAGGTGGACTGAATGGGCAGAGTTGAAGGCTAGTGGCACTAGGGGTGGCATTCTTATTCTATGGGATAAGAGATTGTGGAGGTGTCTTGACTCTCACCAAGGGTGCTTTACTAATACTTGCTTTCTTGAAAGCCTTCATGAGGACTTCAGATGGGGTTTACAAGTGTTTATGGTCCTCACTCCAATGCTGAAAGGGAAGATTTTTGGCAGGATTTGGGATCAACCAGAGGCATTTGGGAGGAATAATGGGTTGTTGGAGGGGATTTCAATGTATGTATGTATGAATATGAAAGATTGAACTGTTATAGAAGGACCAAAGCTGTGAGATGCTTCTCTGAAGCAATTGAGGATCTGCAGCTAATGGATTTGCCTTTACATGGAGCCCAATACACCTGGTCAAGAGGGAATGATATTTTCCAAGCCTCAAGAATTGACAGGTTCTTGGTCTCTACACAATGAAAGTTTTAGATCCATCAAGCAACTAGCATTCCCAAGAGTCATCTCAAATCACAAACCTTTATTGCTAGAAAGTGGAGAATGGGACTCAACAACATCTTACTTTAAATTTGAGAACATGTGGCTTCAAAGAGAGGGATTCATTGATATGGTGAAAGGGTGGTGGCAACATTACACAATAAGTGGCAACCCAGACTTTGTGCTAATTCAAAAGTTGAGGAGCTTGAAGAAAGACATCTCCAAATGGAACAAAGAAGTTTATGGCATGTTAGACACTAAGAGAAGCAGGGCTCTTGATGAACTCTTAGCCTTAGAACAAGCAACTGAAAGCAGAGCTCCAACTCAAGCAGAAAAACAAAGGTTTCTGACTTTAAGAATGGAGTTGGAAGAGATCGCTAAAGCTAAAGAAATCTCTTGGAGGCAAAAATCTAGATGCTTATGGTTAAAAGAAGGGGACGGGAACACTAAATACTTTCAGACTTTGGCCAACTCTCATAGGAGATGCAACTCAATTGACAAGCTCAAGATAAACGATGAGATTACAGAAGATAAATAATTTATCAAGGGGGAGATATTAAATTATTACCAATCTCTTTACACAGAGAATGAAGGAGGCCATCTTCCAACTT